CCTACATTAACCCATAATTCTTGTCTGTGTTAGCCATGTGACTTGGTATCTTTTATTAGCAAGACATTCTCATCTTGCTTCCTCTGTGCCTGGGTGACAACTGCAGACTGAGTCTTTTCTCTTCCCAGAATTCTCCTGTTCTCATTGCCCTGCTTCTACTTCCTGCCTGGTCACCTTGCATTTATTTCCTGCCTGATTACTGGCCAAGCAGTGTAAGACTGCCATTTTTATTATGTTGATCCTACCTATCCAAGAACATGGGAGATCTTTCCATTTTCTGGTATCTTCTTCAATTTCTTTCTTCAAAGACATAAAGTTCTTGTCAAATAGGTCTTTCACTTCTTTGGTTAGTGTTACCCCAAGATATTTCATGTTATTTGTGGCTATTATGGATGGTGATGTTTCTCTTATTTCTTTCTCAGCTCTTTTATCATTTGTATATAGGAAGACTATTGATTTTTTTGCATCGATCTTGCATCCTACTATATTACTGAAAGTATTTATCAGCTTTAGGAGTTTTCTGGTAGAATTTTTGGGTCATTTATGTATGCTATCATACCATCTGCAAACAGCGAAAGTTTGACTTCTTCCTTTCTATCCTCTCTGTGGATAGGAGGGTTCGGGAGTGGAGTGGGACTTTTAGCTTACAGGGTCTGATCAATGAGGTGAGTGTGTTGGAGCAGCTTACTTGCAGGAAGCTTGCCTGCTGGCTGGCTAGAGAAACTGAGGCAGGTGGAGGGCCTAGAGAATGGGGTGCCCCACTGGGTGGGTGGTTCCTCACCTCTTGGTTCTCTCTGTGTAGTTGTAGCCTGTGTTTCAGAGTTCCTCTGAAGTTGTGGAGGATAGGAGGGTTTATGGGTAGAGTGCAAATTGTAGCTTACAGGGTACGATGGATGGAACGTGGATCATACTGATGTAGTTCATACAGAAGTAGCCTTGTACTTCTGATAAGCCGCCTAACACTCCAGTATCAAAATAAAATTAGAGCAAGCAATAAGTAAATTTTAAGTTCAGTTTCTTCTTTTTTTCTTTTTATCCTCTTTCTTTCCAGTACATTGTAGATATGAAATAGAAAAAACAACATTTTCCAATCACACCTGTAGCTAAATGGTTTTCTTTGTGTTGCTTGATCCTGCTGGACAGGTTTCTCTCCCATCTGTTGCTCCCTACAGCTGCCTATGAAATAATCACTGAGAAGCTAATATTAAATATAATTGCTTGCCCGATGGCTCAGGCTATTACTTGCTAGCTCTCTTATAAATTAGCCAGTTTCTACAGATCTGTGTATTGCCACACGGCCATGGCATTACCTCTGTTCTGTCGTCTTTCTCCTTAGGCTGATGCTGGCATCTCTCTTCTACAACAGCTGGCTCACATTCCTCTTGACTGCCATTCTTCACCTGCATATCTGTTTGGATTTCTGCCTACCTGTATTCTGTCTTGTCATAGACCAAAGTAGCTTTAATCATCAATCAGTGGGAGCAACATATACTCAAAGGATACAGAAGGACATCCAACCTTACATACCTTTTTAGGAAAGGCATTTTCCTAAAAAAGGCATCTTAAAGAAGCTGATTAATTTCTGAGTCAGCTGCAAGTAGGTATTAGTGTTCTGGGTTATTACAAAAATACGCATGTTCACTAGGGAGGCTCTCCTTAAGAAGGAAGAGTTTGAGTGGCAGACAGGAAACAATCTCGGGTTTAATAATATATATATTGAGCTTGTGGTGCTAACCATTAAAAGGTTGCCATGCATCAGGCACTATGTTAAATGGTAGATGGGGATTATTTTTTCCAGCCTTTATAAGACCACTATAACATATCTATTATATCTCTTCAGTTAACATGGATAAATGAAGTTAGGTAATCCTTCCCACAGCATGCTCCCTCTTTCTTCCTCTGTATGTGTGTGTGTGTTTATCTAAGTATTTTTAACTTCAGATCTGTATTTCTTACAATTTCTTGCCAAGCTGAGAATTCAACTTTAGACACTATAGACATTATTTAGCTTGAGAAACACACTAGTGGATATTACACTCGGATATAATCAGAAAGGAGTTGTTAATCTCCATAGCACTTGTGACACTACTGCTTCAATGGCCACATAGTGTCTGGAAAGTTGATATTACAGTACACAAAGTCCAAAGTCGGGAATGACCAGTGCTAGCTTTCCAGCCCATCTCTCTGTGTACAAACTTCCATACTATGAAAGCTAGACAGGATGGAGGAAGCTTCCAGATTAGCTCCATCATGACTCCTCTGTTTTATTCAAGGAAAGTAAAATATACTTTTTTATTTTTTTAACAAACTTCATGCATATATACAGTGCTATCTCGTTCATATCCATAACCCACTCCATACCTTCAGCTCACTCTACCCACCATGTATTAGTCACTTTTTAATGCTATGATAAATTACCATGACCAGAAGCAATTTAAGGGAGGGTTTATTTGTGGTTCTACAGTGTTATATGTTCATAATAATGAAAACTTCATGGTGACAGGAAAAAGGAAGCTAAGAGGTCAAATTTCACAGTAAACAGAAAGCAGAGTGAGCAAGCAGGAAGCATAGTCATAATCAGACAGCCGCTATGCTTCCCTGCATAATATCTTCTCAATAACAAGCCAGAAAATATCCCACATAGATGAGTCAGAAGATCGACAGGCCCACCAACTCCTGGGGAGCTATTGGTATGGGTCATTTCTGTGTCAGAGAGAATCATTTCTTATTGAGGACACTGGTAGGTTTTCCAGTGTCCCAAACCCATGCATATTTGGACAACTGTAACTGGATTTAGTAGGTTACAAAAAAATTTGATGAAGTTTGATGTGGGAATCTGCTGTTTTGTGTTGATTTCATTGGTTAAATAAAGAGACTGCCTTGGCCCTTTAAGAGGACAGAAAATTAGGAAGGCGGAGAAAACAGAACAGAATGCTGGGAGAAAGAAGCTGAGTCAGGAAGTCGCCATGATTCTCCCACTCCAAACAGATGCAGGTTAAGATCTTCCCTGGTAAGCCACCTAGTGGGCTACACAGATTATTAGAAATGGGTTAGATTAATATATAAGAGCTAGCCAATAAGAGGCTGGAACTAATGGGCCAGGCAGTGTTTAAAAGAATACAGTTTCCGTGTAATTATTTCCGATAAAGCTAGCTGTGCGGGCGGTCAGGTGCCGGGAATGTAGCCCGGCCGCTTGCATTACAACAGAAGTTGAGAAAAAGGATGTTGGGGAAAACACAGAGGGAGTTGTTGGAGTGAATAGAATATAGGTACAATAATCCATTGTATACATGTATGAATTTTTCAAAAGTAAGGATTTTACTTTAAATTTTAACCTGGAGAGATGCTGTTACTAGTAAGGTATCTAGTTTATCTTCAGAGAGTATAATTTCAGATCACCCTTCAGCGGCACTTGTTCCTACTCACTTCTGTTCAACTGGCCTCCACGTTGTCTTGATCTCAGAACTGCTGCACTCGGTCCTGCCAACTTTATTACTGGCCACATTGCTTTAATTCATCTTCCAACCAGCCAGTAGCAGCAACAGCCTGATAGTCCCCTACAATCTACCACTTACTGCATGGAGTTTTAATTTTTAAGCCTATATCTAATTATAGCATCTTCCTGCTGGACATTTAAAAAACATTTTCCCTGGCCTTTTATTACGGCATTTTACTTAGCATGGCATTCACCATTAGAGAGAACATGTAGCTTACTGTGTAGACACTTAAGAGATTAAAAGTGGACCTATTAATGGTTACCCTGGGGCAAAGATGAATGGGTTCTGCTTACTTTTCTAGCCACATCCTCCTTCAACAGCACTTGAAGCATAAGCAATACCCATGAAATCAACAAACAAATCCTGCTCCAAAGGTCTTGAGTCTGGATTGTGTCCAGCTAGATCTGCATGGACGGGTATACAGTATAACATATGGCAGAGACTCTGTGCATTATAACTCTTTGCAGAAGGAAGAAGGGACGAGTCAATTGAAGAACTGTTGAAGCATTTGACTGAGAGTGGTGACATTGGTATAACAAAAGAGAGCTGAACATCTATTCTCCTTGGGTAGAGGGAGCCATGGGCAGATGAAGAGGGGCAGAAAAGCTTGGTAGAGGATAAGACAAAGGATGCTTGAGACGCAGACGCCCGATCTCCTAATTTACACACAGCATGCCCTAGAAGCACTGTACAAGAAAGTCTGTCCGGGTGAAATCCATTTTCACCAAGAATGCTTCCTTGTCCTGTGCTGGGATGATTCACATTTCTCACAAATGTCAGTATGAAGCTGCTGGAGGAAAGAAAAAAACTTGACTTAATAGCTTTACAACCAAGGAGATATGTAAATATCCATTTTGTACTTCTGAAAACAGGTGCAGCCTCTTCACAAAAAAGAAAATGTGTCACAGACGTGGAAAGGAAAAGGAAAACAATGGAAAAGAACCTATAATTTAATTATGCAAATGCAGGCTTTTTACGCAAACTAAATTTTGATGTAGTTAAAGCACCTGTAACAAACTTAGTCAGGAAACTTGCTTTCCTTATTCCCGAGACACAAGAAGATTATAAATTCCACGCAAATTAAAGGAAATTTATATTAGGGATACAAAAATTGAGAAAGAAATCTCCTTTATCTTAGTTGATAGTTCAATTATTTGCAATCTTTCAAAATAAAGTACCTTATAGGAAGAAGATGATTGCTACAAATGAGTATGAATTAAAGGGCCATGTATTACGATAAAAACACACATTACATGTGTTCTTTAATAGTTTACTGATTAGATCTATCCTTTCCCCGACTATAAAGTTATATAAGTAGCTCTTAGGGTCAGAAAGACTTATAAAGAAAGAGCTAAGTCAGGAATTTAAGTTTGGAGAAAGAGAGTGTTCATTCTAGAAAGAACTGTTTCACACAGCAGTCTGTCTGCGCTGGGCATGTAATGGGGGCTCTGAGCTGGAGAGATGTTTGTTTTGTGCTCTGCTGATGTGGATATCTCATTCCAGCCATCTACGAGCCCTCCTGTGAAGCCTACAAACACCTGGGCCAGACGTCAAATTACTACTGGATAGATCCTGATGGCAGCGGACCTCTGGGACCTCTGAAGGTTTATTGCAACATGACAGGTAACTGTGTCACGTTTACATTTTATGAAGATGACTTTTCTGTATGCTGAGAATAATAGTCCCCTGAACTGTTTGTTGCCCTGGTGTTATATTCACACCACACCTCTAACAAGGTAAATTTTGCTGGGTTTGTTAAGCCAGAACATGCCGTGAAAACTCTGACACAGTTATCTCTTGAAAGTTTGCCTTTGGAATCTAGAGATATGCATGGCTCAGCAGTTAAGAGCACTGGCTACTCTTGCAGAGGACCTGGGTTCAGTTCCCAGCACATACATGACAGCTTACACCTGTCTCTAATTCCAGTTCCAACAGATATGATGGACTCTTCTAATCTGCATAGGTATGAGGCATATACATTGTATATATACACATACATTTAGGCACACACTCATGCACATAAAATAAAATAAAAAATAAATATTTTTAAATTGTCTATCTTTGAGTTAAACAATGGATAGTTAACATTTTTTGAGGAAAAATCAACATGTAAAGGAAAAACCAAGAAAGTAAAATTGCAAAGTTTAACTTCACAGAAAGAAGTGGCATGTGAAGTCACCTCATTTAGTGTCCTAGGCTGGGTAAATGTATCACTGCCCAGTCCCCCCTGCTTCTATTTGGGGAAGGCTTATGAGCCGCTGCTGACCTTCCTCTGTTCTCTGTAGAAGGGTATCCTCTGTGTATTCAGATCCCTTTCTGGCAATTGCGAAGATTACACAAAGCTTTCATGAAATTTGTTTAGGAAGAGATCCTGATTTTTTTTTCAATTCCATATCAAATTTCAGGCCAGTGAAATGAGATTGTAGATTCTTGCAAGCTCCCAGAGCAGGGTATATAATGCAAACTCTCTAAGATGGGAGAGAAATTTCTAACAGACATTGGCAGCAATATTGAGCTCCAAAAATCCAGAAGGGGCTTTGAGCCATTTATCATTACTGACTCCAAGAGATGACCAGCACTCACTGTGAACTGCTGAGACTTAGGGTACTGAAGGATAATGGCAATACAGTGATCTACATAGTAGTATATTGATGGCAGCATGTGACTGCTCTAACATTGTGTGGGTTTGTGTTCTGGCTCCACTATTCACCATTTATGTAATCACAGGCACCTTAACTAACATTGCTAAATTCATTAAGCCTCCACATTCTTATCTACCAAGTGGACTACTTATTAGTGAAAATACTGCTTATAACCATGATTATTATATAAAAAAGTAATAAAATCCCCAGAAAAAAAATTAATATACTGGGTTCACAAGAACCAATTGGGTAAGATTTTCCTATTTCTTGAAGTAATTTATTCATATTGTTTTAAAAGCTCTCTAATTGAAATCTATTTGAAACCAATGATTCTTGGATATATATTTCAAAATCATTTATGGATTTCTATTTCTGTTATTTCCAAACAAGTGTCTTATCTCCACCTCTAAAGATTTCAAGTAGAAATACACTTCTGCCACTAAAACTTAAAATTGCAAACAACACCATGGGCATCGAGGACTCAGTGGAGAACTTTTTGTGGTATCATGAAGCAAGGCATGATACAGAATAGAAGGGATAATGGCAAGGGCTGGACGTGACCTCAGTGTGGAAGCCCAGCAGAGAAGACCGTAGAAGGGAATTGGTATCCCCTAAATTCTCTCCTACACCGAAATCTCTGGTGTGCACAAGAGAGGGATCAGCTAACAGGAAGTTTTAATTGTTCTAATGGCCGACTAGCCAATGTCCTCTGATCTTTTCTTGTTATACTTCATTTTAATCTTACTAGAACTTAGCACAGTTTAATTTTCAGAAAGATGCTTTGCTGGACATTGAAGCACGATGATTATCAGAACTACAAATTCCACCTTATCCATATCTTTGGGATAGAGAATCATAATGATAAACCCAAGGATCCCAATACAGTCTGAGCAATAAGAACAGTACAACTTTCTGAACTTGATAGTTATAAAAATAGATGTGTCCAAGAATGCATGAAAAATCTTGACTTACAGGGATTTTTTTTTTGAGACAGGGTTTCTCTGTAACTTTGGAGCCTATCCTGGAACTAGTTCTTGTAGACCAGACTGGCCTCAAACTCACAGAGATCCGCCAGCCTCTGCCTCCTGAGTGCTGGGATTAACCGCTGCCCAGCTGACTTCGTGTTTTTAAACATGCTGAATGACTCTATAAAGGTCATTTAGCTCTTTGTCATTCATCATCTGTTCTTGAAATACAATGTTCTATATGGCATTTAGATGGTACTCATCACCAAACATAATACCATGACAGTTTTCTTGTGCTGTTCCATATCCAGGGACTGTTGTAAAGACAAGATAGGGATGCCAGGCTGAGATAGCTTATAAAGTCTAGATAGATCACTTCGTGCCTTGAGAAAAATAGTTCCTGCTACACAAACCTTAAGAAATAAAACGAGATAAGGCACTAAAAAAGGTGAGGAAAGAAAAGAGCCCCACAAATCAATGGCCCACGGCATGAAAGGATTTCGTGACAAAGAACTAAACTCCTAGTGGGTTAATAACCTGGAGAGAAGGGCTAAGAGGCAGGGGAAAGGAAGGGTCACAGCAGATAAACAGGCAGGACTGTATGGCATGTATGGCTGTGCATGTGTGCCCACATATGAACACATATGTGCATCAGAGAAAAAGATGAGAGAAAAATATCTGACAGTATTAAGGGAGGTAAGTGGGATACCCTGTAGAGACTGAAATGATGGTCAAGATTCGAGAATGATTTCCATGTGGAGGGCTACAGAGTGATTTTGAATCACAGTGAAGTACGTGCTGGCTATTGTGCTGTAAGGGAAGTGTGGCATAGGAGAGCTGCTAGGACTCTGGAAATATGATGGCATAGGAGAAGGAATGGGTGATCTAAAGATGCTGCATAAACACATGGAGGAAACCATCAATTGAGCTACCCCCCTCAGACGTTAGAGAGGGTCCTTCATGACAAAACCCATCAAGTGCTGCGGAGTTGACATGGAGGAGTGATGTTTTCAATAAATCTCTTCTCAAAGAACTCATCAGTCTGGTTTCCTTGGGATTTTATCCTCTAATCCATGTTGTATATCACCCTCTTTGAGACAGGGTCTTTTTGCCATTGCCTTAGCCAGGCTCCCTGCCCTACAAGTGTCTAGAGAGGCACGCTGGGACTACAGGTGACTGGGCTATTGGGTCCAGCTTTAATGGGTTCTAGGGATCTGAATGCAGGTTGTCAGAATTGCATAAGCCTTTTACTCACTGAGCCATCTCCCCAGTCTCCCCAGTACTAAACTTCTTATTTCTTTTTTAATTTGAGTTAGCATCTGTGCTCTGTGCATGAGGTTTAGAGTCCAAACAAAAAGCACCTCTTGCATTCTTCATACAAATGGCTTTGTAGTTTTATCAAAAAGCCATTAAGCTTGTTTACATAATTTGTGCTTTATAAAGCCTTGGGATTTAGCTGATCAAATTCTATTACGGTCTATAATGGTAAAAGCCGCTCATGTCTCTTTAATCTAATATTTATAGAGAGTTCCTTGCTCAAGTCCCCACGCACTGGCACTGGCAATATTATTTTCTTTGTCTTTACTGTGCTTCTCACGTATCTCCATGGTGCCATGTGTGCAGGGGGTTGATGAGTCACTGGGTGACAGATGGAGGTCCTAGTGACAAATGTCTTAAACCTGTGCATGCCACCTCACCTCAAACCCCTCCTTTACTTCTTGCATGCGGTATTCATCTTCTTAGCAGCTTGTGGAAACACCAGCTCACCACGACTATTCTGTGTGATTGTCTGGCACAGGTGAGCTAGCTCAATGTGCACGTTCTGAGCAAACTAGAAATCCAGGAGGCCAGTAGATCTATGATTTTCTCTAAGGATTAGAATTTTCTTAGAAGTTCTTTCAAGTTTCTGGGAGACTCCATTGTTCATGATTTAAAGGCCCATGGTCCTGGTTTTGTTTGCTTTGTTTTGGTTTGGTTTGATTTTGTTTTCCTTTTTTTCATGCTTATTGGTCATGAATTCCTCTGAACCCAGCAGAAACTCTGATGTGCAAATCATCCACTAGCAAATACCTGGTCGGGCTTACACAGGACAGTTACTTACTGGATTCACTAGAAGAGCTGATCTTATCTGCAAAGTCTTCACCTGGGCTCTGTCTAGTGACCAGTCCTTGGAGTGTGTTGCATCACGTTTGGTGTCCCCACTCACCTTTGAAAAGAGGGTATCCTGCAGGGAACGCCCATTTGGTGGCAGTGCTCTCTAAGGCCTCAGAATTCTGACTACCAATGTCCCTCTTCATATTGTTTCTAATTCTAGAATATAGGGTCCTTCCTGTGTGTAGAACACATGGCCATGATAAGTTTATAAAGTATTGATATTTATTAATACTTTTGTATGTTTTTTAATCTTAACATATTCCTCAATTAAAAAGTTTGATTATATATAAAATAAAAATTACAATTAACAGTGGCAAAGAAAAACAAGTAACATACTGGGAAATATATGATAAGGATTTGTATATTTTATGCTTCCATATAGACAGATAGAAGGTGGGAAAGAAGGAAGGAAGGAAGGAAGGAAGGAAGGAAGGAAGGAAGGAAGGAAGGAAGGAAGGAAGAAGGAAAGAAAAAAAGAAAGATATTAAAGACAAATGAAATGTAAAAACATTTTTAGAACATTACACCTAAGTCGTCTAGTGACTTGTAAGACCACAAAGTAGCTAAAATTACAATCATTTTCTTGTTTTTATAATTAAAGTTCAGAAAAGTTAAGTCCTAGGCCACACACATTGTCAGCTATGAGACCTAATAATTTAACCAGGCTTATGTGCTCAGAAATAGACTGTAGTTAACATATGTGTGAGTGTGCATATGTTTGGATGTATATTAGTGTGTTTATGTGTGTGCATTAGTGTTTATATATGTGTAAGTATATGTATGTGGTGTATTTGAGTGTGCAAGCTCACATGTATATATAAACGAAAATATTCACTTGGGATCTGTGTTACAATCTAGGACA